GTGGGGCTGGGCGGTGCGGGGGGGCCGCGCACCCGCGTAGCGGGGAATGGTTCCAGCGTTGGGGTTTTCAGCCATTTTCGCCTCGAAGGCGTTTTCAAGTGCCTTGTGTGGGGCGGCAGGAGCGGCGGGAGGTCTTCAAACGCCTGGAGAGATCAGGCAGCTGCGTGTGTTTTAAGGAAGACGAGGGGGGCTTGAAGGGGTTTTGCTCATTCAAGGGACTGGAAGTGATGCGTTTTAATTGTTCTCTGATGTGAGGGGAAAAGGAGCTTTAAGAGACAAGCGTTCTGATTAAAATTCACCCTCTCAAAGAGGACAGTAAGTGGTGCTTGTTTTGGTTTTGGGTTTTGTTTGTTTGGGTTTTTTTACCCTAATTAAACTACACTGTGCAGCCATTTAGTGAAAAAAAAAATCAAGGAAACGAACGAAGCCTATTTGCTTCAGGTGGGGAAGATGATGCATATGAAGTAGGAAGCCTCTTGGTTTAAGGTACCAATAAAATATAATCCAGGCTGTTCATCATTGTCTAGTGATTGATTTTTCAGGCAGTGCAAGAATAGAGCTTGGAAAACACAGTTCCTGGCTGAAGGGTTCTCTGTTTTTAGGCCGGAGCTTTATAAAATAGCATAATAAACATAGGGGGGGAAATGTATTCTCATTAAATGAAACAGTGGGTCCATTTTGTTTGCAGTGGCTGTTAATGAATGTTATGGGCAAATGCGAATCAGGAAATTGATTTTTACAGTTTGCTACTTAATAATTTTTTAGAAATTAAAAACCTATCCACCCTATTCCCCCTGCTTCCCACCCCCCGCACCCCTGTTTCCAGTTGGTTGGATTTTCAGCTGCCCATAGAAGCTGTGATGTGCAAAAGTAAGATCAGAAGTTATTTCCAGCATGTGTACCGGACATTTTTTCCACTATAATTTATAATCAAATTCTTTTCTTTTTCACAGGATAAAAGTGGCTACCAGAATGACAACTACCTTGCTTTGTAACATGATATTTCTGCTGGCATTTGGATTGGCTTCAGCTTTTAGTCACAGCCCTAGGACCCCTGACAGGGTTTCTGAAGCAGATATTCAGAGGCTCCTCCATGGGGTTATGGAGCAATTGGGCATTGCCAGACCCCGGGTAGAATATCCAGCGCACCAGGCTATGAATCTAGTTGGTCCACAGAGCATTGAAGGTAGCTAATGTCTACTTTGAGTTATGATGAATTTATTAGTATACTTTGGTAATAATTATTGTTTTGCATACAGGTGCAGAATATCCTGAGCTTAAAATCATGGGCCTATTCACCATGTTGTTGCCTTATCTTTGGTTTAAAATCATCATCCATCTTTTACCTTCCTTAATGTAATGATTCTGGCAGAAGTAGTAGTGGATTTTTTAATGTACAAGCTTTGTAGAAAAAGTCATGTTATCTTAGAAGCATCTCATCTCTAGCACCTCATAACAATGGGTTTGCTAAATTCTTCCCCAATAGTGTGTATAAATATATGACATGTATAATTCACATGAAATAAACGTGAGCTATAGAGCCCAAGTCTCATGGATGTTTAGAAATATTTATAGACCAGAAGACATCAAATGTTTGTGATGTCATGCAAGGTAAAGGACAAACCTTATACAGGGTGTCCTTCCTACATGCTGCAGAACCCTGTGCAGCCCTCTGTGGGACAGGATCAGTGCTGGAGTGGGCAGGGCTGTGGGGTGGGAAGGACACAGGGGCTTCTCCCTGTGGCCACAAGTAACACCTCAACATTGTGTTGCTGTGATGAATGCTCTGGGCTCAGGTTCATTTTTTTGGCCAGTACTTCTGGTCTCGCTCTGTGTGAGTAAATTTTCCTTGAAATTGGTCTTTTATAACTATGCAAACCATATGAAATATCTGGCTTAAATGTTAGTGTATTAGGATAATATTGCAATGTATTGCTATTTGAATTGTAATAGACTAGCTTTTATTTTGGGATTACAGCAAGAGGTTGAAGGTATGCAACTCCAAATATTATGGTTCATGCCTGAACATCAAAACGGAGCAGAAACTCTCAACCCTTCCCTCAGAATTAAGCAAATTTGATACAGTGTAGCAGGTCTGCACGGTTCATCAGTCTGTGCCCTTTATTTTGTCCCCGTTCGGATCTCCAGACTATTCTAGCCAAAGAGATACAATTGCCTCCTTGAAGGCTAGGGAGGGGATTAAAGCTCAAAAGGCATTTCTACCAAATAATTGCAGACCTAAATTTATATATTTTCTAAACAAACTATGATGGACGTATGCTTTTCTGCAAACTTAAATGACAGAAATTAGGTTTAAGGAGTAAAATTTGGTCTGGGCCCTTTTCTCCTCCTTTACAAGTGTTTGTACATAGAAAAATTGGGACAGACTGCTGAAAGTGAGTAATTTTACTTTCCATCTCCCTCTTTTCCACAGACTTTTTTTTTAAACTTCAGAAAAGATAAGCAAATCTGTGTCTCTGGCAAGTATTTCATCTCAGCTGTTTGCAATTACTTTCTAATTACAATATTAGTAAAACCAGATTAAGAATCTCTTAAGTATTGAAACTTTTCAGGTGCTTTTGAGACTCGATTAATACTAGTTTTCCAGTTATCTGTACAGTCTTCCACAAAACGGAGGCTGGACAAACCTTTATTTTATTTTTTTTTAAATAAAAATACCTTCTGTGTATATAACAGAGTAAGACTGAAAGGTGATAAATTTAGTTATTTTATGATATTTAACATTCCCCTCTTGATCAGATGAGGATGGCTCTCTTTTCAAGTCTACCCCGGATATGTAACAGCTTATTGAGAAATTTCTGCGAAAGCAAAAAAGCCTTGTGAGGCAATTGCTATCAATCAGTGTAGAAATAGACATGCAAATTAGAGCTTCATGTCAAATGTTGCTTTTCATAGAGTGTTTTGAGGTAAGTTTCTCAGATAGTAATTGCTTGCTTTTTTTTTGGTTTCTTGTGGTGATATGTGTCTACCTATAGATAGATAGATATTTCTTAAAGTATCTGATTAGAAACTTAAGAAAGTGTTTTGAAAGTGTTGGTTCCAGTTACAAGATTAACATGGTCTTATGTCATTCTACACAGCATTTTCCCATGCTTCTCTTTTTAAAAGTGCATATAATTCAGTAAATTTTCACCGTGAGTTTATCTTTAAGTATAGACCATGAATTACAGGATAGCTAATCCAACAAAACTTGCATTTAATTCTGTACCCGTGATTTTAACTATTACATTGTGAAGGCTTCACTACTAATCAGTAAACAATGCTCTATTTCATCCTCTTTGAATATTTGCTTTTGCGTAGTTCAGGGAAGAACCTGCACAATGGGTTTGACTTTCTATTAGGTGTCTGCTTTGGAAACAGAACGGCTGAAATGGCTTACTAAGACATTTATTCGAAACAGTCTAATTCTGTAAGAGATTCCCATACAGAATGCTTCTGCATATGTTATCTGACTGCACTTTTTAACCATTTTCCTCACAGTCTGCCCACTACCTGGTTATTGCCAGAGGACTGATATTCCTGACCTCCCAGCAGCTCCAGTCAGCCAATGTTTTCTGAACAAAACAGAACAGGAACTAAACTGGGGCAAGGACCTTGTCCTCTGGCGAGGACTGAGGAGTGGAGGCATTTGAATAAGGCCCCCAATGAGGCATTGACCTGTTATAGGCAGATGAAGTGTAATGCTCAATATCGTAAAAATACTGTGACCTTTCTGAACTGGGGGTGTTTTGGTTGGTTTGAAGGAGGGACTGGATCTTACAGACATATTTTGTGAAATTCCATCACATGATGTAGAAACAGAATTTCCTTGGAGAAGGAAGCTCCAATCTCTGCTCTGCTAAACAGTCCTGCAGGACTTTCTAGAAGAATGTTTCTGCTGGTGGTGAGCTCTTACAGCTTGCTTGTGTCTCAGATGCTTCTTGGCCAATGCACAAGGAGCTGAACTGAGCAGCGCAAGAAACAGTCCCACAGGTTGCAATGTTTAAGCAAAAACCCTGTGCCTGTAGCACAGGTGTCGGCTGACAGGAGTATTGAGGAAGATTGAGAGAGGACTTGTGCTTGATGTTCCCAGTGGTATCCATATGAACAATAAGTAATTTATGGTTGAGCTATAGAAAAAATAACTGCATGTATTTTAGAGTACATCAGTACAAGGTTTCAGGTTCTGAAGTAATCACTTATAGACATTCAACAACATACATACACTGTCATCACTGGCTAATAATTCTGTGTGCAAGTGCTTAAAAAAATCTAGAAGATAATAGAAGGGAAAACTAAGGGGGAAGGGCAGAAAGAGGTTTAACAATAAATAGAATATGTCACGGCAAAACAGGGTTTGCATTATAAATACCATTCTGGCAAAGTGATAATTTGCTAACTACTCTCCTGAGGTGTTGTCTTCATTGGGAATTTTTTGACTGAAAGTAGTGGGGAGTAGAATAGGGTATGAAAGTCATTATTTATGAGATGTTCTGAGCTGCCAGGAGTATTGACTTCCAGCCATTTTTCAGACTGTTTGTTGCAGTGACCAACGTAGAGAATTTAAAACTCTGTTCGTCCCATGCCAGCATCCTCATCATCAGCCCACTGACTGTTCTGGAGTGTGTCTGTTTCTCATTTTGACCATATATTGCATCTCAGCATAAAAACCCCTTTATCAGTCAGAGCGTAATAAATTTAGTATGTTCCTACAGAAAATTGTTTTAGTTAACAAAATGTTTTTGTCAGAGATTGCCCCAGCAGTGTAGACCTGCAGCAGTGTTGATAGCTGCGGATGCCATCAGCTTCAGCCAAGCCAGGATTCCAGAAGTGCCATGGATTTTCAAAAGGCCAAGATTTCATTTGTTACATTTGTACACTTGCAAACAAGGTGCTGCCAGGAAAAATTAATTTCTGTGGCTTTGGAATTTGGAAACAAATTTAGGCTGCCATAATACAGACAAGTTTATACTAGCAGCCTGATTATAATGAAATGTTTGCAAGTTTGAGTGATTATTATAATAATGTTTTCCATGTGAATAAGACCTTAATAATTTTATATGTAACAAAAATACTATTGCTGTTAGTTCATAAGCAGATTTCCTAATTATGCCCATTTTCCATCTCAGCTATCTACATTTTTTCTGGTGTTAATCATCTTATTTTGACTTTAAATGCTAAAAAGCAGAGGGTGGATGTGTTGCAAGGAACTATACTTGGTCTTCCCACACACACACTATCCTCAAAAAAAAAGCTTAGGGCTGCCTTGGCTGTAGTAAGTGAAGTCACTAACTTGCTTTGTACTGAAGACGACTAAAAGATGGATGCTTTTCAGAAAAGACATTTAGCAGCATGTGTTCTCTTTCTTAAGTGGCTAGATAGTTTTCTTGTTGATGGATAGAAAAAAAAAGCGCACAGTTTGTTAATGAAAGAAGTTACTGCCTTTTCTTGTGGTGAAATCTATACATGGGTTTTTTTTTTCTTCTCCTTCCATTTGCATTTAACAATTTACCTGTTACTTCAGGTCAAGCTGCTAAAATAGGAGTAGAGGCTAGAAAATGCCTGATAGAGAGTTTAATCTACCAAGAAATTACTGCGAAGTTCAAGCTGTGTGTAATCCAGGGAGACCTCGGAGGTCCAGAGAGCTGTGAGCACTGTGGCTTTTCTCTCTCGGAGGCGGGGTGAGCCGCCCGGGAAGGACAGATGGCTTCTTTGCTCCAAGCCTGCAGGGAGGTGCGGAGGCTGCGTGAGCTCTCCTTTGCCAGGGCTCTGTTACCTGAGTGGAAGCAGTTCAAAGGATAAATGTGTCACAAAAATGGGAATTTGCTGGCTGATTCCCTGTACGTGTGTACCACAGACAGTGCGCGGCATTCCAGCACGGCAGAAGCCAAACAGGTCCTGCATGATGAGTGTCAAGCAAAGATGTTTTTAACACTCGAGGTGGTGTCCTAGGAGCAGCTGGTTTTTGCTGACCACTCAGTATTCTTTCTGAACACCCCCTGGTTCCTAAAAGTAATAGACCCATATTAACTACTTTAATTTCTCTAATAATATTTGCTCTCCTTGTTAATTTACGTTTTCAGAAAGCTATGTTGTAGTCACTTAGCAGTATCTATAAAAAGAGAGGAAAAAACAGAGACATGGAATTCATAATGAGTAGCTGTGTTTCTGTAATTATTATTTAGG